CATTTCCTTCTGACCTGTGATGACATGGGTAATAATTTTGAGTGCCAAAACTACTGCTGTAATGAGTCAGGCCAGTGCAGACGGGAGCAGGAAGATTCCACACCCTCTAAGGAATCTTACTATTTCATTATTTTCCAGATTTCCTTTTTGTTTCCTCATCCTTCTTTCTCTTCCTTTTAGTCTGGACTTGCCCAGCTTCTTTCCCCTTTGGATCAGTTTTTCTCATTAACCCCCTCTTCAGCTGTTCTAAGAAACTATTCACGTCAGCTCTTGCTCTGGAACCTGTATTATCTGAGCTGGGAAGTAACATGTAGCTGGGAAATAGAGCACCCCAGAATTAGAGGCCTCATGTGAAGCCTGTGGAAGGAGGTAAGAAGGCTTGGATTAACTTTGTTGGGGTTTTGGTCTGAAGACTTACACAAGGGCTTTTAATGCAGGATTATTGGTGCTTTCATTCTCATGAACTGGATCCATTCCAGAATGCTGACCTGATTCCTTCGCAGATAACTCACAACCTTTGCAGTGACCACACTAAGCCTTTTGAATGCAGAAGTCTTCTAGTAACTACTTACTCCTGTTTTTCATAGAACTATTTCTTTGTAATTCCCTGAGAAAGAATCATAAAGCAGCTCACCTTATTAAAAGCTTTAGATACCTAAAGACAGCACAGATTGCAATAACAGTAAGGACGCAGCATCCTGTATATGGCTTTACAAAGCACATTTCAGCTGATCTGCTCTGAATGTGATTTCACCCTGGTGCTATGTGCTCATTGGCATGCTCCCGCAGCAATGCTCAGTGTGGTGGCCAGTCTTACCTAAACTTGGCATTAAGAACAGGAAGAAGAATGCTGGGACAAGAAGTGCAGAATTCAAACTCTGCAGCTACCTTCCTGTAAAACATTGTGACAGTACATGAAAGATGCTGTATTTCAGACTCCTAAATAGCCCTGCTGGCAGCATGGTATAATGTATGTTTTTATATTGGCACCATTTAGTGTCTGTGTTAGCAAGTGTCCAAGGAGTTGTGGCTAATTGTTTTCATTCACCACACCAATTTACTCAGCACCAATATTACCTCATAACTTGGCCTTGTTTTTTGGTGGTTTCAGCTCAGTGGCAACATTATTACGTTACTCAGAATGTGCAGATGGAAAAGATGCACTGAGATGGTGACTGTCTGAATGAGGACAATTTGTTTCATATTTATCATTGGCTTTTTATAACCCTGGATCAAGAAAATGCTTCATGAGAGGTTAAAATTGTGCAGATACTCATGTCAAGATGGGCAAAGCTTCCCAGGAAAGATTGAATATAGCACCGCTATACCACGTTGGAATTCATAATGATGAGCAATTTTTTATTGCAATTGCCATTTGATCACTTTGGGAAGTCACAGTGATGAAGAATTGTCTTTATTTGATTTGAAAATTCTTATTTGCTGTTTTTGAAAAAAAACCCCGCAAACCCAAACAAAACCAAACCAAGCAATAAACCACCAGCCACTGTGTTTTGCTTGGAAAGATTTGTCCTTGGGAAAGATTTTTATTTCTTTCCCCCACTCAAGATGAAGAAGAATTTTAAATGTCAGTGAAAATATTGTGTATGGAGACAAAACTATTTTTTCAAATCACTTCAAAATTGACTAATAAAAGAGGGAAGCCTATCTGTGATGCTTTTAACACCTGAACTTTTTTGTGTTTAAAGGGACTCACCTGCAGTTAGGCACCTCCTGTCTGCTACTACTTCAAGCACAGTATAGCTGCCTGGGGAAAGCCCTCTTCACCGACTCCCAGGAGTAGAGGACAAAGCAACAGACCATCAAGTGCCGAGTCCTCATTTCCTGATAAATTAACACTGATAAATGCACATGTTAATCAGATAAATCGTATTAAATGAGGTGGTGCTTCCAGGTACAAGGAAACCCAATTCAAATCAGTGGAAGAAGTTTCTGAAAGGGTATGTTTTCTGTCATTTACTGGACATGATTAATTCAAGCAGAATTTATGCACCAGTTCTAACAGGTTTCTGATATGCAGTAATGGTGCAATCTTTCAAGACTATAGTTACTCTTCCTTGGCATGCTGTGAAGTTTCTAAATCACCCTTCAACAGTGGAAATTATAGTTTCCTTTTTTTCATGCTGACATTGCTATTCCTATGGTCAATCTAGGATGTGATATCAGCAGTTTTTTTTGACTCAGCATACTTTGTGAAGCAAACTGCTCTGTTTTATTGCCTCCCTCATTTCACTTGGTGTATAGGGGAGATTTCTTTAGCCGCTCGCAAAATGGAAGCCAGCAAAGGCCTTATTTTGTACGCTGGGAACGCCAAGACATTTCAGGGCCTTAGGACAAAAAAGCGTAACAACAGCTACATTATGTCTCATTACAAGTTCATCTAGAACAGTATCCTGACACTCATAGCGACTGATAAAGAATGCTTGGGAAAGAATAGGGAAAACATATAAAGATACTTTACATTATTACTTTTCCTTTATATTTTTCCAGATGCCAGGAATTTGAAGTTGAGGAACTTTTTGAGCCAAAGACAGCATCTTTGCGTTGAATAGGCCTTACAGGATTTTCCCTTGTTAATTTGTCTATTCACTGCCTGAACCCCTGGAAGCATTTAATATCCACAAATAGGTGTAGCAAAGAATCCCACAGTTTAACCATTTGTTGTAAGAAGAACACATTCCTTTAGTTTCTGCTGAACATGCCACCTACTGCCTTCATTTTTCCCTGTTTTTCTTTTAGATTGGAATCAATCATCAGTCATTTCTTGTTCTCCTTGAGCATGCCATTTGCAGCATTACAGAATTTTGTCATGTTCCCTCTGTCATCTCTCTTCCAGACTAAAACAACCTGTTCTGCTTACTTGTTTCTCATCCTATAACCCTTATTATGTTTGTTGTTTTCCTCCGAATTTTATCTTGTTCTACTGTACAGATGTCCTTCTTCCTCCCATAGTTAGCCGGATCACCTCCCACGTACTTGCAAACTTGGATACTTCAAAACTATTAGGGTGGTTCCATTTGTGCCTTTTCTCATTTGTAAGAGCTACCTGCCAGATGATAAAGGGACCATCAATACTGCCACTGCTGAAATCCACTCCTATGTCAGGATGGCCATCTACAGCGCAATTAAACTGCCATGCAAGCAACCATAACAATCCATGGGTTTGAAATTAGGCATCATCATTTCATGACAAGATCAATATTTTACCTGAAAGATTCTTATTTAGGCTTGAGAAAGATGAGCTTGAATCAAAGAAGAGAACAACTGTGAGGGTGATTAGAAGACTGAAGTATTTCTATTCTGCAAAGAGTTAAAGGGTTTACGCTGTCGAAAAGGACTAGGGGCTTTTTACAGAGACATTGCTGGGGAAGGAAGGAATGACCTCTTTATGCAGAGGGACTGCAATGGAAATACATCGAGAGAGTTTAATTACTTCTGGGCAAAGGTAGATTGGAAGTTAGAAGAGCTTTTTAAGTATTTCAGGAGTACTATTTCTGCAAGAATTTTTGCAATGGCAGATATGATGGCAGGAAACTTAAATCTTTTTAAGACGATGCCCCAGAGAGGGGCAGTGACATTTGGCTGGCAGGTGCATTTTCGTTTCCTAGAGGCTTGGAAGGAGATTCATTTGCTATTTCTCTGCATCAAATTTATGTTGTATTAATCCTCTGTGTCAGTGCAGTCACTGGCTCTCTGCAGAGAGTAAAATTTGAATCTGAGGTTTTGGGTTTAGCATAGAAAGCAAAACTGCATTTATCAGACATTTTTCATTATCAACTCCTACTGTAATGTGCATATGCAATCCCAGTACCAAGTTGGTATGAGTGTGCTCCTGGCAAAGTAAACTGATCAAAAAGCTTATTTCAGTTAAAACTGAAATAAATATTCTTTTAATCCAAACACTGATAAAAAGATCAACAGTTTTGTTTCTAATTAATTGACTAGGTCAGCATCTTTTCAGTATATTTGGAAGAAAATTCTTCTTGCAGAAAATGGTTTTTTAGTTATCTGTAAGTGTAAGGTCTTAATGGCAAATCTGGTTTGGTTTCATTTGGTTTGGTTTCGTTAGCTTTGTTCTTTCATTTATTAAGTAGTCAGGTAGTCCTTCAGTAGCCTCTCATGCTACACACCTGAGACATCATCTCTTAAATGTGTTTGGAGACCTACAGTGTTAGTATTCAATGATGATGTCATGATCTCTTGCATATGTAAGAACCAAAAATGCACCTGTGTTCAGATGGGGAATGGCCACTTTTAGTTTTGAAAACAACAAGTTATTTAAAGGGAAAAGGAAATGCATTTTAGCAAAATTGTCATTACTGAAAATAAATTTAAAATCTAGCTTATTTTCTTGTACAGACATAGCAATTCAGAATATTATCTACAGTCTCGTTGTACTTACTGTAAATTTTTATTTACAGTAAATGGTGCACTATGAATAAACCCTAACAATGGCTTGCAGGCGGCAAAACTCTGAGCATGTTTGAAAACACTAATGATATTTCACACATGTTTGCTTCACATTTCATTTATGAAAAGTTGAATTGATGGCTTCTAAAAACCATTTTTATGGAAGAATCCTTGTGACATTGATAGCTTTGTGACAAAACCAGAATTACTATGATTCTGCTGGTTTAAGGTTAGAGGTATATTTAATATGCCTAAGACCAAAAAACGTGTTTTTAAACACTGAAATCTTACAGGATTTGCTTCACTTCATTGACCATATTGCCTCTAAGCAAGATTTTTATTGATATCAAGAAATTCCTTTTTCCCCTTTCTTTTCCTTTTTGATGTTGTGGTTTGGTTTGTTTCTTTTTTCTTTCAGTAAGAATCTCCTTTGATTAATATTTCTTTAATTGAAAACTACAGCACTCTTAAACAAGACAAAACCGTACTTCATAGTCCTTCAGAATGAAGCTTAGAGGTGATCTAGTATAACTGCCAGTTCAGTGAATGCCAGATCCTTGCTGTTGCTAAACCTGCGCAGGTGTTTCCAGCTGGCCAGTGCAAGGCTTGGGTTTGGTTAGGATGCTGCTTTCAATGCCTCTGCAGTTCAGCACCATGTCGAATTTTGCCATAAAATACGAGAGTCCGCTAGTGTTGTGACAGCCTATTGAGCCCAGCAGTTTCCTTCTGCAGATGAACAGTCTGTGCATGGAGAGCCGTGAGGACAGAAAAAGCTAGAGTGAAATTATGAATACCTTGGCCCTGGGGACACTTAAAGGCTAATTTCTGTGCAGCTTTCTCTTGCTTGGAGAGATGCCTCTGTTTCCTTTACTGATGCCGTTTCTTGGATGAACTGTAATACAGATATTGTAATGAATTACAGCAGGCACAAAACAGTGAGATTAACTTGCAAACGTCGAAACCAAACAAAATCAGATTCACTTTTAGTGGAAAATAAAATAGTTATTTTCTTTTTTTGTTTCTTTTTAGTTGAACGTTTGTTTAATTTGCACTAGGGGGAAGTCACTTGAAACTACTCTAGAATAAGTTTGCCTGGATAGCTGTTGTGTGTAATCTATCTCCGAGGAGATGCACCCACCCACAGACGCAAGAGAAACTTGTCCTAACAATCATCTTGTCTCTTGGGCAGACCAGTTGGCACAGGGCAGTGCTGAACAACACTTCTGTATTGCCTCCAGGACTGTTCCTCCAGAAAGCCCAAACATTGCCCTTGGCAGCACGGGGCTGAACACAACCCTGAGGAACCCTGGATCAATACACTTGTTTGAAAAGTATGACACAGAACAGTTAGTTTGTTTTAAATTACTGAGATATGTCAGGTAGGCCTTGTTTCTGCCTTGTCCAAAGATCAACTAAATCTAGTCCTCCTGTATTCCTAGCCCTGCACTACTCCAATGGGTCTCAGAGAAAGAACGTTGAAGATTGCACACACGTTGATGTTTATACTGGAGAAAATATGCCCTTTGGTGGAATAATTCCAGTTACTAGGTAATCCTGGCAGTTACCTGTGTAGAATCCTGTTAATTAACATCTTCACCCATTTGGCCTGGGGATCTAAACAGATTTGCTGGCCGTTCTTCAGTGTTGCTCTGCAGTGGAATTAACATTTCACGTTAGTTAATATTGACACCTGAGGAGGTCAGAGGAGAACGCAGGCAAGGCTGAGGATTCTAAGCTTAAGGGCTGCCAACCCTTCAGCATTTGTAAGCCATAACTTCTCTTGCCTGCTGACTTTACTTACATGATTTCCACAGCATTGCAGTGTGGGCCTTTAGGAATGATTTCTACGTTGGCCAGGTGCTTTGGCAACATTAATCCTGTGACAGTCTGGATGCAGTGACACCGCAGCTCCGCTGCCAGCTTCATCTCTGTGAGGAAAGGAAAGGGTAGCTTATAATGTCTGCAACTGAGCCAAACTAACAATGAAAATATTAATTAGAGAAAGTGGAAGGGATAAAGAAAGAGTTCATGCCTCAAGGTATAAATGGATTGCTACGCATGGGTTTAAGGTAGTACCTTCACTGAGCAAGAAGAGGGCATTTGAGATCTGCAGATTTTGTACAGGTAACAATTTATAAGTTCCCATTACAACTACGATTATTTTGGCATCCCACAACATCAAGTGCAATGAAAGGCTACTGGAAGTGTGGGCCTCCTGTCTTATGAGAGGAAGAAAAAGCTAGCTGAAGAGGTAGATGGCTACTCCCCATGAATACAGCCTGCAGGTAAAACCTGTTTGGGCTAAAATTCTACACTGGTACCTGATGTGAAAAAGCCACGAAAATATTCAGTTTAGAAGCTTAATCAAGATGCCAGGAAAGCTGTGGGGCCCTCTGAGGAAGCAACTCTGGGTAAGCACTAGGACCAAGAAACCCATCAAGCCTTGGGATGGATTTTGATTAAATTATGCCACACGTTGTACAGCACCCAAGTCCATGGACTGAATTTGCTGTTGCCTGACAGTCCTTCCAGACCCACATTGCTCTAGTGAAGCAAAAAAAAAAATGTTATCCCAGCTTTAGGGATTGAGCACAGAGCACCAGAGAGGCGACGGAAGTTGTCTAAGATCACAAGCTGTGAAGCTCAGGGCTTTCCCAGCTCCCTCCAGTGCAGACACTGGGATATCTACCTGTTTTCAAGGCAGATAGCACAGGTTAAAATGCACAATCACAACTCTCACATTTGTCCATTTTTCCTACTAAGGCAGGCTGCATCTTCAGCTTGAAATTCCTGACAGTTGAATTGTGGAATATACTTAAAAGAGGAGATTCAGTACTTTGAAGGCAGTATCAACAAAAAGCAAAGACAAGCTCCAGATAAATGAATGTTGGGCAAACGGACACTCTTACTGAGATGAGTAGGGCTGCAGAGGCCATAATTCCAGTCAATTCATCAGCCCTCTCTTACTGTGGGTAGTCTTGACATCCCTTAAGACCAAACAGCAAACCCCTTTACCTCACCCTGTGCTAGTTCTTGTACCTTGATATGATCATCCACCTATTTCCCTTCTTCACTTATCTTCAGCTGAAATCTGCCGGTGCTTCTTTTGGCTGACTGACACCTCCCTACCTCCCTGACAGAAAGCAGAAACAAATGCACTTGAAAGTCAAGCATTGGGAAGCATAGAGCATCACAGCAGAGCAGCAACATCCCATCTGCAGGCTCAAGAGAAGAAAATGAGATTCCAAAAGGCCGTGCCAGGGCTTCACTGCAGGTGTGTGTAATGATACAGGTCCAGCCTGGAGGTTGGCCACATCGAGCTCTGTTCTGGCTCAGGAGAGACGGCAGATGCGTGCCATCCCAGCGTGAAGAGCCAGGACGCAGCAGGAGCAAGCATCCACATGGTGCTGAAGCTTGGAAGCATTCCAGACCCCTAAACTTGGCATACTTTCTGCCCACAAAATACTTTTTGGGCTTTCTCAGCAGAGTTTGTTTATTTTTACCCTCACGCTTCTCAGGAAAGAGCTCTAACAGATAGCTGTAGAAATAGATTGATTCAAACTAAGTTAGTTGAGTATTCCAAGCTTTCATCTCAGGACCTATTAGCATAAGAGCAGCACGAAAAGTGGTAGCAATGCAATATGCCACACAGTTATTGCAGGCTGTTACTTCTCAGGCCATAGTTGTAATCTCATTTTTCTCAGAATATTTAAGGGACAAGTTCACCAATGTCAGTGAACCTCTGCTAGCAGAAGAATAATTAGAGACAAGAAATAGGCCCACTCTGACAGTCCGTGAATATGATTTTCTTGACCTGCTACCTCAAATACAGTGTGAGTATGGAAGTCCTACATACCTTGAAAACATTCTGTTTAGCTAAACCATATTGCAGAAGAATTGTAATACAAAGGAAAATAAATCTAATTTTCTTACCAAGAAAGTTGCCCATAAAACAGAGAATCAGGAGGGAGATTACAGCCTTGCTATCCATGACTGCTCTCTGTGCCTTCTTATGGTGGACTGAAAACAAACTCCGCTGTGTCTTCAGACCCACATGGGACTGCTGACGCTGTTATACTCCAGGATTTGCTTCTCATGCACATGTACATACAGATGGAATTGCTCTCGCTCCTGCCTTTTGCCACAACCAGGACAAGCAGTAGGAAAATCTGAGATGAAACAGCTTGTGCTAACACACCTGAAACTGAGCAGTAAGTTGGAGTCACCCTGCTTGCTGTGATCTCTTCTTAATTCCAAGAAAACAGTGAATACTAAGTAAATACTAGTAAATACTAAGAGAGAATAACATGCTGGTTAAAACAGTAGAGAGGTGTTAAGCTCCATTGATTGCTGTCATTTATAGGTCAGTACTTGCTTAATTTTCTCTCAGTGCTGAAATACAAGACAGAATCAACTTAATAGAACATTGGCAAAAATCTAGGTAATTCTGTTATTTGAATAGGATGAGGAACTCAGAGCATTATCACATTAGGATGATGATCTTTAAGAATCCCTTACATATACTTATCCACTATCCCATATAACACCCAGCAAATTCATGGGCCGGAACGGACCAGGGACTCTTCCTGTGGCTGAGGACACACTTGTCTGTAGGAGAAGAGACTTCAGCAGCTGTATGGACGAGACATGCCATGCCACATGCTCTGATGTCCAGAAAACAGCTCCTGACCTCTTGCATTTGTTCAAATTGTACAATAATAATTAAAAAAAAAATAAGGAGGTTTGAGTTTTCAACACCTCTGAATATTAGGTGGTATTTTAGAAAGCACTTAAAGCTATGCTTTAACTTCGTCATTCCAGCTCCCATCCCTTTAAAAGATAACTTATAATGTGTGGTTCATGATTTTGTTTAATGAGGATTTGAGTTACTTGTGCAACACCACATACACAAACAATAACAGCTGTGGAAATGCTGGGAACAGCCACCATCTCCTCATGCTCCCTTCTATGCCCTTAGACCTCTTTGGTTTTACTCTGTTCTCAGTCAAGGACAATTTAATTCCTTCTTGTAAGTCCCTTCAGATTTGCAAGCACAAAGAGACTGCCTCTTATTATGCTCTTGCATTTAACCCTGTTGAATATGTCTCTTTTTTCAGATCTCCTCTTCCCACTTCTTTCCAGGTGTCTCTCCTGAGAGGAAAATGCAGATCTGTACTAAAAAAAATGCATGCATTTGCCGTACCGCTGGTCACTGTCTCCTGGCCTATGACCAGACATGCACACTGCACCCTGCTTTCAATCCCAGTCCAGCCCCGCCTTCTCTTGTAATGAATTGTTGATGATTTTGATGTACCTAAAATACTGTATTCAGAAAGGATTCCTGAAACTAAGGCACTCAGTTCTATCCAATCGATGATACAGAACTGGTTTGTGCTGTTATGCAAGTGAGTGGTAGCTCACAAAATGAACAGATATTTGTGGTTTTGTTTTGTATTTGAATATTGTGAAATTGGTCATTTCACAAAATGGTTAAAATGTTGATAATTTTAGAAAAATGACTGAAAAAATAGGTTAAAATGTTAAGAGGTACCTAATTACAATATTTTGGATTATTAACTGAAAAGTACAAGTAAGAATGTTTTTTCTAAAGTATGTATTTAGGAAAGCATTTGCTTTCAAAACCAGTAAAGCTTACCACTCCACAGTTCTAAGATTATTTTCACAACTGAGATTATTTCTAAAACAATGGAAAATTTTAGGGGTTTTGTGAAGCGAATAGTTCACAGTAGGAAAGTATCAAGGACTGGGATAAAAGACTTGGTCTGTGTGTATCTGTATATATGTCTTTCTGAGAAGTTGCTAACATTTTCTGCAAACTAACCTTTCAGCTTTGGTCCATATGTTAATTTGCCTAGAGTCTGACCTCAGTCCTTTATAAGTAATGTGGAGGCACATGTTTTTGCATTCTCAGCGGCTGTCAGCTGCAGGGCTGCTCTGCGATATCTGAACACTTCTGTGACATTGTAATACTTGCATCTTTGTTATCCCTGGAGGAACCTGCCCCTCCTGGTTCGGTATCTGCAGCCCAGTGGGCTTGTTACCACCACCTGAAAATTTATAATCTCAAACTTGCCCTTAAAGGAGAACAACTAGGGTGCAAGGCAAGGCATAAACTCTGGGACTGGCAAGGGACACGTGCTCTGAGACCAGCAGAGGAGTATCCTGTGGAACTCCTGCATGAGCAGGAAAAACTTCTGCAAAACCAACAAGGTTGGGCTCTAGGCACATAGGGACAAACGGCATCAGTGGGATGGTCAGGAGGGTAGACCTGGGGTTGCAGCATAATAATGAGGTCCACTGGAAATGTGACCTGCATTGCTCCAGTCTTGGAAAGAGGCATCCATTTCTGTGGTAGAGTTAGGACGATTGAAAAAGAGCTGGATGGTAGAGGTAGGAGGGAAGGAGGGACTGAAGGAGAAGCCAAGCGCAATTCTGGTTCTGCAACCCAACGTGGCGTGACTAGAGGCGAGACAGAAGAGGGCTGAGGTCATTCATCATTGTGCTTCCTTTTTGAGAACGTTTTTCTCTGCCTGAAGAAGTGGGAAATCCAGTAGGCTTGCTTCAGCGTCTAGATGAGCCTCATCAGAAACTGCCTAGAGCAGTGAGGTCTCATTGTACGGTGGTGTAACAGGTGACACTGTTTTTCTGCCTGTCTGCAGTATTGCTGACATCACCAGTGTGGAAGAAGCGAGGTGACTACTGTAGGTCCAGCCGCAGAGCTTTGGTGACCAGACGTGTTGCGTGTGCCTGGGTTTGAAAATTACCTCCTTGAATTCCTGAAGGGTGTTTTGAACCAGGAGATGCTAGTCCTTTAGAGTGACAGGAAAAAAGGCAGTCAGGCTCTCATTTTTGTCTGTTAAGTATTGCTTAAAATGCCATTTCTTAGGGCTATCACTATATAGAAGAA